ATATGAAGACAAAAATTATTAATCACATTCACTGAAGTGTTTTGGTAATAGTTGGAAAATAAACGGCAATCATTCCAGTAAATAGTTCACCAAAGCATCCAATTGTTCTTGTTCATATTCATATCATTTCAGTGAAAATAGTWGAGTGATTTTAYTTAAAACTTTGTTTGATCCAATAAATTTTGTTTTAAGGACAACAGAGTAAAGTTAGTAGACATTGGTCAGGAGTGGATCTTTCTTTTTCYAAGGCTTGTGATATGCCATCATTGGTATAGTCACTAGACRTGTGATTATCAAGTAGCATTTTCACATCAYATCACTGAATGCCATGTACATGTACAATTCAATAATGTGTAATATAGCCTGTTTCAAGAATAAGGAATTAAACTGACGTCTCTGCATGYCATATTTCTTGGACTGAATATAAAAACTGGTACCACTGYTTGTWGCCAGAACAGGGAATTAGACTTTAAGTAAAATCACTCTACTTGTTCTGGTCAATTACAACTGGGTTTAACTTTATYTTCCATAATAAATGATGAACAACAGACRACTCAAGTGTATGTGTGGATATGTGTGAATCATTCGTTTGAGGCATACWAGCAAAGCTTGATAAAGGGACATATCATAGCCACACAATATCATATAACACSCATTTATTATACTTATCATGGTATCAGTGAGGACAGACATATTGAGCTTTAAATTATTAAACGTATAATAATTTTGATACTGTTCTTACTCTCGTCATCTGCTACAGATTGGTGTTGTTTTGTTAGCATTAATCAATATCCTATTTAAAACTCCTTTTCAATTCATGTTTTTCATTCCCATTTCCCATAATCAATGTTGATATTGAACCATAAGTGCAGATCTCATTTTTGGTTCATTTTTTTCATTCCAAATTCCCATTGCTATTGATATTGATTCATAAATGCAGATCAAAGTCTTGTAGTTTATAGTCCACAAGTCATTTGCAGCATGCCTCAAACGAATGTAATGATTGGTATGTGTAGTTCACCCCTCCCCCCTTGTTTCAATATTTTTATTTTCTCAATAGTCACAGGGAAAATATTGTATGGGTGGGGGTGGTAGAACGGTTTGCTGGTTGGCTGATTAATCATCATTATAGGATCAATCAATAAAAAAACAGAGTGATTCCATTTAACCCATAAAATGGATATTTATCACCTTTGGATAAGTGAACAATGATACAAACACCTTTCTTCTTTTTTATTTCATTGATCAAAAAACCTTCACTATTAGCTCTCATTTTACAGGTTAAACGGAATCACTCTGATGTACATCACAAGAATAAGCTGAACAGGAGAGTTAATAAATAACATAGCAAAAGCAAAAACAACAACAACAACAAAAAAAAAACCCATAAAGTGGCAGTTATATTTGAAAAAAATAACTGAACATTGTTGTCTTATAAAATCATTAAAATAGTGTTACCCCCTGTCCCCTCCGCTGGATCTGTCATGAATGTGCAGTAAAGTTAAGGGTTACCATAACAATTATGTAAAAAAGCCATAAATTTAAAGAATAAAGAATTGAGTTTGTGCATTCAATGAAGTTCAAAAAACAAGTGTAATAAATAATATAGTTTTATTTAGTAACTTAATACTATTGCATAAAAAATTGATTGCCTTATTTAAAGATAAAAAGAAAAGATCTATTAGGGTAATTCGTGTTTCTTTAAGTAAAAATAGTGATAATCAAGAATACTATAAAGTAGTATTTGCATGACTTTCTGAAACTCGTTGGTAATTCATGAAGACAAAACAAAAACAGTCACTAGTGTATAGGACGTTATGAATCATATATCACTCTTGTGTGTTTGATATGTTACATGGAAAGTTCAGTAGCAGTGAGGGGACCTTGTGAACGTGTCTGTGCTGTGTCCATGCTGTGTTCCCATTATTTGATTGGATGGAGAGTATATTCTTGAGCAATGTGATTGGTCTGGCATATCCCTTGCTAAGTCCTGACCATGTTCATGCTGTGAGCTTTTCACTTTTAAGCAAGCCTTAAGCCTTAAGCCTTAGTGTAAATGCTGCAATCACTTAAAATTATAAATGAAACTATCTTAGCTTGAGACTGACTTTTGACTCTTAACCTGCAATCAGCTCATGAACTCTCAGAATTAATAAGTAAGAAGTTTGAGAAGGGAAATTTACCCATCATTTAGGTGGGATTTTAGTGCACTTATGGATATCATAAAATGTTGCTATCAAATGCGGTGTAAGATTGGGGTTCCTTATACACTTACCTTTAAAATGTTTGTACCAAACTCTTTAATTTATGGATTAATTTAATATACGACTAATACGACGAATAAAAAATTGAGTTTGTGCATTCAATGAAGTTCAAAAAACATACGACTAATAAAATGGTAACCACTGACTGAAAACGGATTGCTTGATAGACAATTGAATTTACTATGATTGATTCATTTTCAAAAGATTGGGATTGGTTGGCTGGTAAGGTACTTATGAATACATGAATGTCAGTCTACTGCAGCTATAGTTGGTTATCTTGGTTACTCCAGTCTTAATATATACCACATATTTATCAGTCTCAGTCAGTCAGTATTTTGCTCCCAATTTTTTAAAAAAACAGTTACATTCGATAGCACAGCTTCCATAGTCATTCTAGGATATAAATCTAATTATGAGGATGATGATCATTTCTGAAATGAATACTATTGTCTGGCTCAAAGGTTGTACTTAACATTACCACTGTTCTCATTATGATTTAGACAACAGTCGAAACTAAGAAATCCAGCAAGATTCTTGCACTGCCCTCAATCAGAGTCCATAAAGGTACTGAACAATAATATTTATTTATAACACTTCAACCAGCTAACAATGAAACTCTGTCTGAGAGCACACAACAGGGCTTGGCTCAAAATTTATTCAATTAATGGTAGTCTATTGCCTGATTTCCATATTGTGACTGTTGTCTTGATCRRYGCATAGCAACAAAAACAGTAACTTCTTCAAACAGGCATATGGTCCATGTCCAAAAAAAGAATACCTCATTAAAATCATCACAAATACTAAACACGACTTGCCAAATGAAGTTTGAATTAGANTCAATATCCTATTTAAAACTCCTTTTCAATTCATGTTTTTCATTGTCATTTCCCATTATCAATGTTGATATTGAACCATGTTCATGTTTTTCATTCCAAATTCCCATTATTATTGTTGATATTGAACCATAAATGCAGATCAAAGTCTTGTACCTTATAGTCCCAAGTCATTTGCAGCATGCCTCAAACGAATATAATGATTGGTATGTGTAGTCCACCCCTCCCCCCTTGTTTCAATATTTTTATTTCTCAATAGTCACAGGGAACATATTATATGGTTGGGGGTGGTGGAAGGGTTTGCTGGCTGGCTGATTACTCATCATCATAGGATCAATCGATAAAAAAAAACCAGAGTGATTCCATTTAACCCATAGAATGGATATTTATCACCTTTGGATATGAGTGAACAGTGATACAAACACCTTTCTTCTTTTGCATTTCATTGATCAAAAGACCTTCACAATTAGCTCTCGTTTCACAGGTCAAACAGAATCACTCTGATGCACATCACAAGGATAAGGTGAACAGGAGAGTTAATAAATAACATAGCAAAAGCAATAACAAAAAACAAAACAAAAAAAAAATTACAGAATAAAATTTGAGTTTGTGCATTCAATTTCAATTCAAGTTCAAAAAACAAGTGTAATGGATAATATGGATTTATTTAGTAACTTAATACTTTTACATAAAAAAATTAATTACCTCATTCAAAGATAAAAAGAAAAGATCTAATTGGGGTAATCTGTGTTTTTTCTAAGTAAAAACAGTGATAATCAAGAAAACTATAGAGTGGTTTTTGCATGACTTTCTGAAACTAATTGTTATTCATGAAGACAAAACAAAAACAATCACTAGTGTAAAGGAAGTTATGAATCATATATCAAACACTCTTTTGCATGTTTGATATGTGACATGGAAAGTTCAGTGCTGATTTTTTCCTCATGCAATGTGATTGGTCTGTGAGTGTGGTGACCTTGTGAACGTGTCTGTGCTGTGTTTATGCAGCGTTCCCAGTATTTGACTGATTGGAGAGCAAATTCTTGAGCAATATGGTTGGTCTGGCATATTCCTTGCTAAGTCACGACCATGTTCATGCTGTGAGCTTTTCTCTTTTATATAAAAACCTCTCTATTAAGCCTTAGGGTATACGCTGCAGTCACTTAAAATCATGAATGAAACTATTTTAGCTTGAGACTGACTTTTGACTCTTACCTGCAATCAGCTCATGAACTCTCAGAATTAATAAGTAAAAAGTTTAAGAAGCAAGGGAAATTTAACCATCATTTAGGTGGGACTTTAGTGCACTTATGGATATCATAGAATTTTGCTGTAGAATATGATGTACGATTTGGGTTCCTAATGCACTTACCTTAAAAATGTTTGTACCAAACTCTTCAATTTATAGATTAATATACAACTTAATAAAATGGTAACTGCTGACTGAAGATGGGTTGCTTGATAGACAATTGAATTTACTATGATTGATTCATTTTCAAACAATTGGGATTGATTGGCTGGTAAGCTACTTATAAATACATGAATGTCAGTCTACTGCAGCTATAGTTTGTTATTTTGGTTACTCCAGTCTTAATATATACCAAATCATTTATCAGTCTCAGTCAGTTATTATTTTGCTTCCAATTTTTTTAAAATACAGTTACATTCGATAGCACAGCTTCCATAGTCATTCTAGGATATAAATATCATTATGAGGATAATGATCATTTTTGAAATGAAAACTATTGTCTGGCTTAAAGGTTGTACTTAACATTACCACTGTTGATTTGATTACATGATGATTTAGACAACGGTTGAGACTGAGAAATCGAGCAAGATTTTTACACTGCCCTCAATCAGAGTCCATAAAGGTACTGAACAATAATATTTATTTATAACACTTCAACCAGCTAACAATGAAACTCTGTCTGAGAGCACACAACAGGGCTTGGCTCAAAATTTATTCAATTAATGGTAGTCTATTGCCTGATTTCCATATTGTGACTGTTGTCTTGATCRRYGCATAGCAACAAAAACAGTAACTTCTTCAAACAGGCATATGGTCCATGTCCAAAAAAAGAATACCTCATTAAAATCATCACAAATACTAAACACGACTTGCCAAATGAAGTTTGAATTAGATTTGTTTAAACTTATCTCACTACATTCAACAGTTCCTAGTTGAAAAACTAGTTGAATTTGACTAAAATAATGAGTCCTCTTGCCCTCATGGCCTACAGTATAAGTCAATAGCCCATTCAGACTTGTGGACTAATTGATATTTAGTGCAACTGAGGACAGTGCTATTACATGTAAGAAACAAATAATAGAGGCTTTAAATGCACAACACATTACCAGCAGCAAAATACCATGCTTTTCTGGCTCATGCATTTACGAACCCTGGTGGATGGCATTATGCCTAACAGGTTATGCAATCCAAATGATAAGGCAGCTGAGATGGAATTAAAACTTAAAAGCTGATTTTCTGTGAAGGGAGGAGAAATTGGAGAACCCAGAGGAAAAACCCTTGAAGCACAGGAGAGAACCAACAAACAATTCTAGTCACATACGACACCTAGATCAGCAGAACTCGAACCAAGGTCGCATTAGTGAGAGGTGGCTCGTTAGTATGCCACCCTTGCTTTAATAAATTTGCAATATTGCACTCACAGTCTTTACTACTCTTTGCTTTCACACCCCCCACAATATATTACACCCCAAAAATAATAGCTTTTTGTTTATTTAGTCAGAATTTCATTCTTGTGAAGACATTCATAGTCCAAACTAGTACTATCAATCAGGCAGTGTCAACAATTTGATGGATTTTCATTAGAGATAAAAAGATTGGCAAGCATTACTAAATTAAACTGGAGACAGGCAAAAATTCTAAACCAAGGTTTTTAATGGAAGTCCGTCATTCACCAAAATATCTTTTCTAATATTTACAGAAGATATCGCTTACAAGAGGGATTAGTGCTATTACCATTCACGAGACATGTTGCAGCATTGATTTGTAATTTTGCCCCCAGGCTGGTGCTTCATCATAGGACACTGGAGTCCCCTTTGAGGTCCATTGCTCCCATTCACAACCCCTTGAAGTACCCACACCCATCCCACAATCAAACAATTAAGCCTTTTTGCTTTGGAGATTACCAACCCATCTGTGGTTGGTATTCCACATAGTAATTACTCACATTATGCTCAACTCTCAAATACTAACACTNTCAAACAGGCATATGGTCCATGTCCAAAAAAAGAATACCTCATTAAAATCATCACAAATACTAAACACGACTTGCCAAATGAAGTTTGAATTAGATTTGTTTAAACTTATCTCACTACATTCAACAGTTCCTAGTTGAAAAACTAGTTGAATTTGACTAAAATAATGAGTCCTCTTGCCCTCATGGCCTACAGTATAAGTCAATAGCCCATTCAGACTTGTGGACTAATTGATATTTAGTGCAACTGAGGACAGTGCTATTACATGTAAGAAACAAATAATAGAGGCTTTAAATGCACAACACATTACCAGCAGCAAAATACCATGCTTTTCTGGCTCATGCATTTACGAACCCTGGTGGATGGCATTATGCCTAACAGGTTATGCAATCCAAATGATAAGGCAGCTGAGATGGAATTAAAACTTAAAAGCTGATTTTCTGTGAAGGGAGGAGAAATTGGAGAACCCAGAGGAAAAACCCTTGAAGCACAGGAGAGAACCAACAAACAATTCTAGTCACATACGACACCTAGATCAGCAGAACTCGAACCAAGGTCGCATTAGTGAGAGGTGGCTCGTTAGTATGCCACCCTTGCTTTAATAAATTTGCAATATTGCACTCACAGTCTTTACTACTCTTTGCTTTCACACCCCCCACAATATATTACACCCCAAAAATAATAGCTTTTTGTTTATTTAGTCAGAATTTCATTCTTGTGAAGACATTCATAGTCCAAACTAGTACTATCAATCAGGCAGTGTCAACAATTTGATGGATTTTCATTAGAGATAAAAAGATTGGCAAGCATTACTAAATTAAACTGGAGACAGGCAAAAATTCTAAACCAAGGTTTTTAATGGAAGTCCGTCATTCACCAAAATATCTTTTCTAATATTTACAGAAGATATCGCTTACAAGAGGGATTAGTGCTATTACCATTCACGAGACATGTTGCAGCATTGATTTGTAATTTTGCCCCCAGGCTGGTGCTTCATCATAGGACACTGGAGTCCCCTTTGAGGTCCATTGCTCCCATTCACAACCCCTTGAAGTACCCACACCCATCCCACAATCAAACAATTAAGCCTTTTTGCTTTGGAGATTACCAACCCATCTGTGGTTGGTATTCCACATAGTAATTACTCACATTATGCTCAACTCTCAAATACTAACACTTGTCTACAGTGAAATACTTACCTCTGGTGTACTTCTAGATTCAATCAATATAGGATACAGGTGAGTAATTGATACATGTAAGATATCATCACAATATAGCTGCAAGGTACTAGTTAATGTCTGTAAATATATTGTTTAATGTTCATTCTTGTCTTACTGGATTTACCGTACCTGTTTCATGCAGCCAATAGTTCATTAACAATAGAACTTACTCGTAATTGCTATCTGAATTGAAATAAAATAGCCTTTCAACTGACTTCTGTTTCGTAGTGTAATCTTAGCTACTGTTAGTTTATTTTTAGATACAATAAATAGAGGTTGAGTAGCTGATAATTGTATGATATAATCGCAAGACCAATAAAGGATGCACTAGCAAATGCCTGTCATAACATGGAATATTCGTCTAGCCTTGCCCTGTGTATATTTACTTATACAATGTACTCACTAATGTTTTAGMTATATTTTGATTAAATCTTTAGTTTAAAAAATCTTTTAAAAGAAGGAATTAAATTTTAATTCCTCACTTAAAAAATCATTGCTGATAAAAATAATAAAATAATGTTTCTAATGGTTTTAGTTTTCCAAACAACAGAAAATGGTAATACTCAGTACTTTATATTAYGTTAAGCAATAATTTATATTTAAAACCATACATTCACTGTTTTCTCCCAAGCTGGTCCTCAAAATTTGCATTGAGAATTACTCCATAAAACTCTGTGGTATGTGAAAAAAACCAAACATTTAAATTAAATAGTTATGAGTTTTATTTCCCACAGAATGAATGTTCCCTCAAAGTTGAAAAATAAATCTAATACTTTTATCACTTTTTAGTTGTTGGAGTATAAGGTCAGTGGCTGGTATGTGGCCATAGCCTTGGACATCCTGATGTAAGAACATCTTTTGCTGGCTTTTGCATGATCAGGGATTACTTATAATATTTTATTCATTGTCTCGTGCTTTTCATCCTCTTGGTCTTTTCAATCTTGGTCCATTAGTCCATCACTGAATGAGTTATTACCAATACACCAGGTTTGGAACTCTTCTCTTATCAAACCCTCATTCTTCGCAAATAAGTTAATGTTACTGGGTATTTGTTAGGTATTGTACAGCCATCTATCTTAAGACTATAATTTCTTTCTATAAAGTGTCTGGATGTTTACTCTTTTATCTTCTTGCTGCACAA